AACCTAGTTTTCCCAGGAGGTCTCCCATCCAGGTACTGACCAGGCTCAGCCCTGCTTAGCTTCAGTGGGCAACCATGAAGCTAAGCAGGATATGAGCCTGTTGCCGATATATCGGTATCGGCGGAAATTCAGCCGATATGAAATTTTTTTTTACAGAACATATAACGCAGATTAAATGCGTATCACAGCACGCGTCTGCGGTAGGCATGGGCCGGTATGAGATTCTGACGGTATGATAACCTTAGATAAAAAATGTCGCGCCGCGCTGCTCACGTCCGGTGTAGAATAGAACCCATTATAATCAGTGATGCTGTCTATACTGGATGCAGTAAACTGATGCCTTGTTCTATTTATGACGTGCTGACACAAAGTTCAAATGATTTTCAACGGCCGCTTTGCCGTGTCCTGTTGCGGCGCAGACACGGTGTCAGTATAGTTCATAGCAGTCAGTAACATAGCAGATTGAATAGTTAGTATCTTTCTGCAGTCCAATAGACGGCAATGCGGTGGTGGCTTGAGTCTGTTGAATGGTGATTTAACGCTACGTTGACACCTAGTTGGAGAAACTCAATGCTAAGTAAATAAACAACAATGTCATCGTCTTTTACTCTCACAATGAGCTTATCATATTAGTTTGCTACATTAGTAGGGCCTTATGATTTCTGCAATGCAGAAAACATGGACGGAATCGTGGAATCCAGTCATTCACAATGAGCTTATCATACTCGTTTGCTACAGTAGTAGGGTGCTATGATTTCCGCGATGCAGAAAACATGGGCGGAATCACGGAATCCAATCATAAAATCCAATCATAAAAAATCCAAATCATAAATTTGTCTTATTTTTGATGAATAAATAAAAAAACAGGTCAGTATATGTAATCAGTGCAATGGATGATGGGAACTGTAGTCCGGAGTGACATGTAACAGTCTGTGTGGTGTGAGAGTCAATGTAGTGAGCGCGTGACCTCTGGTGGTGAGTGAACAGAAGTTCATAGACTGGATTTGTGACACTACACATAAAGAATATCGGCCGATATATCAGTATCGGTCTTTTTTACTCCCTAATATCGGTATCGGCATCGGCCCCCAAAAAAATCCATATTGGTCGGCCTCTAATAAGTATGTTCATCAATAGAATATTACTCACAGGATGTTTGTTAACATTGATGCATTGCAGTGTCCACAAGTATCTCGTACTGTAAGCACAGTGCATACATTTCCCAGAATGCATCAGTGATGTCCCTAGAGAAATGTTTGGAGCCTGTCCATGTTGTGAGAACTTGTCATGAGCCTGGATGGTGGAGAGTATTTATGTGAGTGGAGAGGACCAGGTTTGCTCATCCTCAGGGACCAGGAGCGGTTCTGGATCAGAAGATGCTTGTTAGGATGATGGAGTGGATAAGAAGCTTTTTTTGCTCTGCATATGTGTGAACAGGTGTTTATGTGTAATTTCACTCTGAGGTTTGTGATTTGCTGTATAATCCGTATGTGCAACATTCACCGGTAAAACTCAACAAAGGTCACGTTTAATCTTTCAGGCACTCAAAGTCTTAGATCTTTGAGTTCAGCTCATGAAAAATGGGGGCAAAAACAAAAGTGTTGCGTTTATAATTTTGTTCAGTGTATGTCAAAAGGAGGGAGGATCTTCGTAACCGCATGCATTTTCAATAACAAGAGGGCAGCAGGGGTAGATCTTGGGGGAGGCTGAGTTTGGAGATTTTTGTGTTCGCTTGCATCATTTTCTTGGGGGTGGAATTATATGCTGTATTTTTGGTGATGTTCATCTCACACTCCACTGTCAGTCAATGCAGGTGCATCTAAATGCAGGTCCTTAAGCCAGAAGTTTTGGTTACATACAGTACAGGGTCCAAAATTAACCCTCACTAAGTGCCAGATATGAGTAAATGTTTGCCGTTAGATTTAACTGCAACATGGTTTATCAAATTGGTAGTTTGGTCTGCATTGACGTAAGCGATGTGAGCAATTCAAATCAAACACTATATAGAAAACCCAATTGACTGCTACATCTTGTGTCTTCTAACAGCTTCTACTTCAGCTGAACATATGTGGAATATTCCTCACATTAAGCCACTAAAACCAAAATATGAGGAGCAAAATAACAATGTATCTTCATGATTTTAGGTCTGTTGCAGTTTCACTGTGAGACAGAAACTGACTCATCTAAGGTGTCACAATGACCTGTGCTGGTTGTTGCTGGTATTGAAGGAAAAACAGCTAAATAATTCCATTATATTGGACAAAATAAATACATAAATAAATAATAATAATAATAATAAAAACATTTATAATTTTGCACCCTGGATTGATACCAATAACATCATTACCTTCTTTGGTTGTGGGAGGTTGATGGGCCAAAATAGCAAATGCACCGTGAAAGCAAAACATGGCCATCTCGAAAACATTACTTCGCCATGCTATTTCATTTAGCCATATGGATATTTGGAGAGCTCTGAAAGTATTGCCACTCAGTTCTCTTGGCATGTGCCCACACTACAGTTCCTTTCCCTGAGTGGCCTTGCTCTCCGTTTCTCCACATTCATTTTTGTCTCCTTAGAGTGCTTTTGAGAGAGTGCTGAATGAAGAGCCTTCTAGATTGCTATCCTTCCTCCACTGACCCTGGGTTTCACCACAAAGGCATAACTTGCACCATTAACCGTGAACTCTTGAGTATGAGTGCTTTCCTTTCTCTTCCTCTGCCCTAACTCTTTTTTCCTTTTCAGCATGCACACAGACTTCTTCAGGTGCTCTAAATGTTCTGGTCTATCCTCCATTTAATTTTTTCTTCTTTGGTGCTCCCTACTTGCTCTTCCTTTAGTGGTCTTCCTATTTTGAGAGTTTTTTTTTTTCTTCAAATAAATAAGAACCTTGAACTGTCTTTCAGGAGAAAGGAGGAAAAAAAAGAAGAAAAAAAGACTATAGATAAGTACAATATAGATAAATAAGGGGAAAGAAAGTTTTCAGATGTCATTATTTTTATTATTACTACACCACCCTGCATCATATGCCCAGTCCTGATTACAAGGTTAGAATTATGGCCAGACACAGAAGAAAATGCAAACATGATATAGTTGTTTTCTGTTACGTCTAAGGATGTTTTAATGCATACAAACAGCGACAGAAAATTATAGATTTTGTAAGGGGAAAAAAGGAGATTATTTATTAATTATTAAAAGTAAATAAATAAATATGTTTATGTAAAATTCTTTGGAACATATATTTCCACTCCTTTGCAGATTGTAGGATAAATTATACATTTTGAATTCTTCTGACATTTCTTTTGAAATTTAATTGCTTTTGTTATTTTGATAACTGCTTTAAAGCTGATACATATAGGCCCGGTTTCAAAGACAGGGCTTAGCCTAAACCAGGATTAGGCCATAGTTCAATTAGGACATTTAAGTAATTTTTATGAACATGCCTTAGAAAAAAGCATTACTGGTGTGCATCTTAAGACAAAACAAAGGCACTGACATGTTTTAAGATCAGTCAGTGCAAGTTTCTTTCAGTTGAAACAGCTCAGATTTACATTTTAGTCTAGGACTAGGCTTAAGCCTTGTCTGTGAAACCAGGGGATAATTCTTAAAATTCTTATTTTGTGAAAATTGTAAAATGAAAATTGTACATGATGGAAAGTTTTTATGGATATTTATGTACTCTGCATCATCAACTAATAATAATAATAACAGCAATATATAGTAATAATTTTTTTATTTTATTTATTAATACATTTAACAAAAATATTTTATGTTTCTTTAGAAATATGGGGCTAAGATAGCCCCATTGACCCGTTTGCTCTTAGAAAATTGACAGTTCATGCTTGGCTCCAATCTTTAAAGCATTCTGACCCAATCAGAATCTTGCTGATTCGTATTTTTACAGTTAGCAATGCAGTAATGACAAATTAACAGGCACTCACACAAATATAAACTCACACACACACACACACACACACACACACACACACACGCACACGCACACGCACACACAATGACTGTTTGATGGATAACATGAATCAGCCTCTATGCAGTAATCATACAAATGTAAACTTGTTTAATGTATTCTCCCATTACCCCACTGTGACAGATGTCTGCTATTGGTCATTGTATTTGAAAAATGATCCGACACGTCTCTTTGATGTAAATCGATACCGCTCCCAAATATGAATATTTCATGTTTTAATAATCAATTGCAACAATGACATAGATGTAAGAGGTTGTCTGTAATAAAATATAATGCAATTTAATCTCAGAGGTTGCGATGGCTGCGCAGTAATTGAGCAGTGTTCTGATTGGCCCATGGGCAGTATTGAGCACTGTGAGACAGGCAACATGAGCAAGCAAAACTAGCTAGCAAGACAGTTGAACAAGCTTGTCCTTTTTTCATTTTCTTATGTATTGTCTTTGAAATGCGAAACTGGTGTGACATTGCTGAAAAGGATATATCAGTGACTTTTTTGTTACAGTTGTAGATATTGTAGCTTACAGTGGGTGAGCATGGAGTATATCCATTACGCTAATGCTCCAGAAAAGGCCTTCATGATGGACAAGACCAGTTTAGACCAGAATTAATTTCCATGCCGGTACAGCCTGGTTTATGAATAATAAATGCAGGTTTATGCTGCCTAGATACTTTTTATGCTGGTTGGTTAAATGCGGGTTTATGCTGGTTAGACAATTTTTATGCTGGTTAAACACAGGTTTATGCTGGTTAGACATTTTATATTCTGGCTAAATGCAGGTTTTCTGGTTGGGGATTGGGTTGTGCAGTTAGATGCTGCTTTATGCTGGTTTATAATGGTAAGGTGCTGGTTAAAGTTGGTTTATGCTGATTTGATGCTGGGTTATGCAAGCTTGTTTTGCCAGTCAGAAGCACTGGTAAGAATAATTCCCTGAAACATTTATCATCCTCGTGTTAAATATTAAAACAAAATATATATACAAAAAATATGGTTCTGCTCATAAGGATCTGCAAA